GAGGCAGTCAAAAAGCTCCGCGGTGGCAAGGCCCCGGGGGTGGATGAGATCCGGCCGGAGTTCCTTAAGGCTTTGGATGTTGTGGGGCTGCGTTGGCTAACGCGACTCTGCAACATCGCGTGGACATCAGGGGCAGTCCCGCTGGATTGGCAGACTGGGGTGGTGGTCCCCCTATTTAAAAAGGGGGACCGAAGGGTGTGTTCCAACTATAGGGGGATCACACTCTTAAGCCTCCCTGGGAAGGTCTATTCAGCGGTTCTGGAGAGGAGGGTCCGTCGGATAGTCGAGCCTCGGATCGAGGAGGAGCAGGGTGGTTTTCGTCCTGGCCGTGGAACGCTGGACCAGCTCTATACCCTCAGCGGGGTCCTAGAGGGTGCATGGGAGTTCGCTCAACCAGTCCACATGTGTTTTGTGGACTTGGAGAAGGCGTTCGACCGTGTCCCTCGGGGTATCCTGTGGGGGGTGCTCCGGGAGTATGGGGTACCTGGCCCCTTGTTACGGGCTGTTAGGTCCCTGTACGACCGGAGCCAGAGTCTGGTTCGCATTGCCGGTAGTAAGTCGGACTCGTTTCCGGTGGGAGTTGGACTCCGCCAAGGTTGCCCTATGTCTCCGGTCCTGTTCATAACTTTTATGGACAGGATTTCTAGGCGCAGCCGAGGTGTTGAGGGTGTCAGTCTTGGTGGCCTTAGGGTCGCATCTCTGCTTTTTGCAGATGATGTGGTCCTGTTGGCTCCATCAAGTCGGGACCTACAGCTCTCACTGGAGCGGTTTGCAGCCGAGTGCGAAGCGGCTGGGATGAGGATCAGTGCCTCCAAGTCCGAGACCATGGTCTCTCACCGGAAAAGGGTAGAGTGCCTTCTCCGGGTCGGAGCGGACGTCCTTCCCCAAGTGGAGGAGTTCAAGTATCTCGGGGTCTTGTTTGCGAATGGGGGGAGGGAGCGTGAGATCGATAGGCGGATCGGTGCGGCGTCTGCAGTAATGCGGGCGCTGTACCGGTCTGTCGTGATGAAGAGAGAGCTGAGCCTAAAGGCGAAGCTCTCAATTTATCGGTCGATCTACGTTCCCACCCTCGTCTATGGTCACGAGCTTTGGGTAGTGACCGAAAGAACGAGATCGCGGATACAAGCGGCCGAAATGAGTTTCCTCCGCAGGGTGGCTGGGCTCTCCCTTAGAGATAGGGTGAGAAGCTCGGCCATCCGGGAGGGGCTCGGAGTAGAGCCGCTGCTCCTCCACGTGGAGAGGAGCCAGTTGAGGTGGCTCGGGCATCTGTTCAGGATGCCTCCTGGTCGCCTCCCTGGGGAGGTGTTCCGGGCTCGTCCCACCGGGAGAAGGCCCAGAGGAAGACCCAGGACCCGCTGGAGGGACTATGTGTCCCGGCTGGCCTGGGAACGCCTCGGGATCCCCCCGGAGGAGCTGGCCGAAGTGGCCGGGGAGAGGGAAGTCTGGATTTCCCTGCTCCGGCTGCTGCCCCCGCGACCCGACCCCGGATAAGCGGAGGAGAATGGATGGATGGATGGAAAATGGATGGATGGATGGATGGATAATGAATGGAAGAATGGATTAATGAATGGATGGATGGAAGAATGGATGGATGGATAATGAATGGAAGAATGGATGGATGGATGGATGGATGGATGGATGGATGGATGGATGGATGGATGGATGGATGGATGGATGGATGGATGGATTGAAGAATGGATTAATGGATGGATGGATAATGAATGGAAGAATGGATGGATGGATGGATAATGTATGGATGGATAATGTATGGATGGATGGATGGATAATTAATAGATGGATGGATGGATAATGAATAGATGGATAATGGATGGATGGATGGATAATGGATGGATGGATAATGAATAGATGGATGGATAATGAATAGATGGGTGTATGGAAGAATGGATGGATGGATAATGGATGGATGGATGGATGGATGGATAATGAATAGATGGATGGATAATGAGTAGATGGATGGATGGATGGATGGATGGATGGATGGATGGATAATGAATAGATGGATGGATGGATGGATGGATGGATGGATGGATGGATGGATTAATGGATGGATGGATGACAAAGGCCAGAACAAAGCCTAAACCAGCCGGCGGGTCAGTCCGGCGTGAGCGTGACCTGACCTCTGTCTGCTCTCAGTAAGCGTCTGGTGGTGGTGGTCCCCAACGAGAGCTCCTTCCCGGCCGTGCGGCGGGCGTACACCAGCGAGGATGAGGCGTGGCGGTCGTACCTGGAGAACCCGCTGACCGCCGCCACCAAGGCCATGATGAGCATCAACGGGGACGAGGACAGCGCCAACGCCCTGGGCCTGCTCTACGACTACTACAAGGTGCACAGGAATAGTCCATCCATGTTCAGAAGAGAGCCAATGTCTAAAAAATGAGGCTGACAATGCATGCTTTTGTTTTTTTAATCATTTTTAGGTATTTCATTACCTCTAATTGTACAACAATTGTGATCCTTAAAACTTACATTGTTGAAAAAATGACCGCACTCCAGTTCTGATAATCTTTTCACCAGGTTTCTAAGAGTACAGACACCAAAAGAGACAGATGCTGACTTTTTTATATCTACCTGTGTTCTTCCAGGTGCCCAAAGAAAAGAGACTTCTCTCCGTTCCCAAAGTTATTGAAATTACAGAGGAGCCGGAAAAGAGGTAAGTGGGTGTTTATCTGCTCTCACGCAGACAGAAAAACATGGTAAATATCAATAATTGGAGCTTTCAGTTTTCTCAAACGCTAAAATCATATAAAAAAAACTATGCACCTTAAATCTTACTGATTTAAGCCAAGCGCCCTGACCATGAATTGGACAAAACATCATCCCTATGTTTCTCAGCCTGGTCAAATCGCCTTTTCCCCTGACTAAAAAGAGGAAACACAAACAGCGTCACATTTATGTTTTTACCTTACATTGTTTATTTGAGTGAGAATCATGAGGATCTATGAATGAAGCAGCTTTTCAGACATTATTTAAAGGATACAAAATCATAAATGATTGAGATACATTTTTTATTAGCAATGCCTCAATAGCATCTCTCTAAAAAAAGGAGGGGTGGCGTTATTGTGTCGTAGGTTTATCTTCAGTATTTTATGTTAAAGGAATCCATGTGTCTTTGGTTGCATCACTGAGCAGTAAATGGAGGATGAGATGATTAGATCCACTGGTGTTTTTGTTGGTTTGTGGGCATTATCTTATTTCCCGGTATTCATTTATTCATTTCCGTGTGTTGTTTGTCCACCACCTATGTGGTTATGTTGCTATCTGTTGTTTCCCTGGTTGATATAACTGTGGCCCGGCTTTGCATGGCAGGAAACTGTCAGTGAGGCAGTCTGCAACGCGGCTTTTTTAAAAGCTTTTGGCATTTTTGAAAACTGCATTCCACTTTTTCTTCAAGCCGTTGCTAATAAGCTTTCCTCTACTTACGTTCACTCTTACTAATGACCACAGAGCACATCAACAGCTGCCCACCTCTGGCAGATGTTCCGTAGGCTTTCTGTCTTTTCCTTTTCTGGCTGTGAACTTTGAAAAAAGGAAGACAAATCAGAAAACAGGTTGTAAAGAAAAAAAGGCAAAACACTTCACACAGAACATTTCTTTTTATTACAATAAAATTGCTATTTAAAACTCTTTCAAATGCATTTCAGTGTTGGCGACAGAGATATATTTTTTAAATGAACGCAATAACAAATGCACATTATCAATTATATACAATCAAAATCTATTTTGAGGTGTAATTCATCAAATCATCCCAGTGACCTTTTAAAAGATATACATCTTCTTTAATGCTTGTTTTCGCTCAGGTCTGCGTTGCCGAGCAACCCCAGCATCCAGAACGAGGCGGAGAGAGTGGACAACCACGTCCAGGTGCTG